TTCAGATAAGAAGTAAAGAGATGAGAACTGTGCCAGTACAGTAGCAGGGGTTACAGATGGGAGGTGTGCCTGTGATGAATATTGCAAAAGACACGTCTGTGGGACTTGGCAATTGATCAGCTGGGAGGAGGCAGTAGAGAGGGAAGAATCAAAGGTCACTTCCAGGTTTTAAGCAGAGGCGACTGGAGTGGTTCATGATACTGGTAATAAAGAAATATCCGAAAGATAGCAGGTGTGGGAGGCCATCAGCCTTTGGACAAACTGAATTAAAATGTCTATAGGATGCTCTAGTGGGGATGGAGAAAGTAGGTAACTGAACTTTCATTTTCAGGAGCTGATTTACAAGCCTTTTGCATAAACGTGCTGGTCAAAACAAAGGGAGGGGCTGGCCAGCAATAAAGAGCATTTGTCTGTAGGAGACACTCAGTGCGCAGAGTAAAACGTCCTCCACAAAACCAGGGGGGAAACTCAGCTCTTCACCTGGAAACCGCGCCATCTCCACCCTGAAGTCTCACAAATGACAGCCCGTTACTGGAGACTTCAAAGATGGAAATCTGCCCAGGGTCAGTATCTGCACAGCTCCTTGAAGTGTCTCCCCACAGCAGCCAACAAATATCTGTCATTTTATGGTTCTTTGGGTTTTGTTCTTTTTAAGCAAGAAACTTACTTCTTTAATTCAAAGCAACTGCACCTAAAAATTCCCTTTCACAGAAGATGGAAAAGAACTCTTTTTCCCCCAAAGTGAACGAAGGAAAAATCAATATATAACAAATAACGAAAAAGTAAAAGGACTCTGCAGGGGTCTTTCCTTTTATCTGCCAAGGCAGATAAAGAATAGTTAAAACAGAATGGAAATCAAATGAACAACAACATAAAGAAGCCATCATTTCAGGGCTACCTAACTCCAAGGTTTGAATAAGCACTGGGGATGAAGGTTGTGGGGACGAGGATCTCCGGGACGGAGTTGCGGGGACGGGGTCTTTGGAGTGGGTGTCTCTGGGAAAGGGGCCTCAAATGGGGGTCTCGGGAGTGGGAGTCTCAGGGACAGGGGGCCTTGGGAATGGGAGTGGTGGGCACGGAGTTCTCGGAGATGAAGGTCTTGGAGAAGGAGGTCTTGGGGAGCCGGGGTGTCAGGAGGGTGGTCTCGAGGCTGGGGGTCCCAGGGATGAAAAGGTTCAAAGTCCCATGTCCACAATGGCAGGACTCGGAAGAGAGTCCTCCTTCTTCCAGAGGGGTTTCCGCCTGCCTGCACCCCACTGCCGGGCGACTAGATGTCACCTAGGAGAGGCCGTGCGCACAGAGATCCGCGCGCCCCGCTCGGTGTGGCCCAGGCCCGAGGTCCCGGTGCGGGTGCAGCTTCTTCCCCGGGCATTGTGTCGGGACGTCTCCCGTACATTCTCCACTTGGCTGTGATTCGGGACGGCGGCTGCGCGGGGCACCCCGGCTCCCCGCCTCCCGAGGCTCTCCGCGGAGGGGATTTGATGCCACGGATAACGCGGAGGGAGCCCCCGGCGGGCTGGGGGTGCGAAGGTCCCAAGCGCCACCGGAGAGCCCGCCCCGCCCCCAGAACGCCCCCGCGTTCCACATTCTCCAGGGTCCGCTCACCCCACGGCCGAGCCCGGCAGGTGTCACCACGCCGGGGCCGTCCCCCAGGCCGCGCGGTCCCCGAAGCGGGCTCCGTCACCGGATCTGGAGGCAGAGCCAGCGCCGGGATCGTCTGCGCCGCCCACCAGCTTTGAGGCTGAGCCCCCGGCCCGCCAGCCCCACCCCCAACGGCGGCCGCCAGGGGCGGAGACGAGGGGCGCGCGGCAGAGGACTCGAGCGCTGATTGGCCGGAAGGGCGAGGCGGGGCGCCGGGCGGGCAGCTGATTGGTCCAGGCTGCACGGTCTCCCTCCCCCGCGCCCTGCCTGGTCTCTGTCTGCGTCCTCGCTGCTCGCTCTCAGCTCCCGGGTTGCATCATCTCCAGCCGGCGGCGCTGAGGAGGCTCGGGCTGCAGCTGTCCACGCTCCTGCACCTCTCCCCGCCCTCTCTGCCTCTGCCCCTGCACCAGGGCTGGGAACTCCGGCGGCCGGCTCCTGCAGTCCCCCGGGCACCGCCGACCGACCTCGCCAGCTGTACCCGACTCCATTCATTGCGAGAGCGCCGGCTTCTCCAAGTCCAAGCTCAGAGCTGCGGGCAGCGCCATGGAAAAGAGCAGCGAAACCAACGGCTACCTTGACAGCGCCCAGGCCGGCCCCGGTGCGCCCAAGGAGGCGACGGGATGCGCACGGCGCTGCACGGACTTTCTGCGGCGCAACGCGCTGGTGCTGTTCACGGTGTCCGGGGTGCTGGCGGGCGCGGGCCTGGGCGCGGCGCTGCGCGGCTTTGGGCTCAGCCGCACGCAGGTCTCCTATCTGGCCTTCCCCGGTGAGATGCTGCTCCGCATGCTACGCATGATCATCCTGCCGCTGGTGGTCTGCAGCCTGGTGTCGGGTGCCGCCTCCCTGGACGCCAGCTCCCTGGGGCGCCTGGGCGGCATCGCCGTCGCCTACTTCGGACTCACCACGCTGGGCGCCTCGGCGCTCGCTGTCGCTTTGGCGTTCATCATCAAGCCGGGGTCTGGCGCGCAGACTCTTCAGTCCAGCGACCTGGGGCTGGATGAGTCGGGACCTCCTCCTGTCCCCAAAGAGACTGTGGACTCTTTTCTTGACCTGGCCAGGTAATGCTTCCCCACCTTGCCAAGGACGCGTTGGGACTCTACAGCTTCATGTATTCTGGTGTACACACACACACACACACACACACACACACACACACACGCAGTCCGTCTTATGCTCCGAAGGATTAATTCTTACTTGGCTGGTGGTGGCCTTTAACATTTTTTTTTTTAATTCAAAGTAACATTTAGAGTCTTTACACACAGAACACACTTTTGCAAACATCCCTTAGGTAGTATACAGAGTGTCAAGTAGTTGGGCTACATCTGTTAGCATATCGTGTGGAATTATCAACAAGCAAAGTCAACACGGGCTTACTTGTGTTTACTAATCTGTAATGAGCACCTTAACACTTTTTAACTCCATCAAAGATTCTGCTCTTGGTCTGTCCCCTTCCAGACCTCACAACTCCTTCCTACAGAATCAGAGCCTCTTTTCCAACTTCGAGCGCTTGACAGGGAGGAAGTACCCATAAACAAAGGAAGCACAGGTTTACTTGTGTTTATTTTGCTAATCTGCAGTGAAAAATTTCACATCTAGTACATCAACACAAGTAATAAACTCCTGCTTACCTTGTTTGTTGGGTCGTCATCTGGCACCAGTTAGGAAGGAGAATTCCGTGGGAGAATCAACAGTCTTGCCTGTGGGTGGCAGTCTCCAGTGGCACACTCAGTAGGTAGCGAGTTGTGCTCTTTTTTTTTTTTTTAATTTTATTAGTTTTAGTGAACATTTACAGAGATTTTGGGTTTTCATTCATTCATTGTTGCACTGTTTTCTCTATCCTCCTCCCCAGTTCGTTCTTCCCCCCCCATGTCTGTTTTAATTGTCCAATTGCCACAGTGCTTGTCGAAGCCAGTTCTGATTAATCTCCTTTGTCAATGTGTCCTTTGCCATTCCCTATCTCTGCTCCCTGAGAGAGACTTCACCCTGATTCATAAGGAAAAGGGGATGGCGTATTCTCTTAGCTACTTCCTGCTGAAAGGGGGCGCTGTAGGTTTCAGGGTGAAGATCTCTCACTACTCTAAAGGGCCCCTTTGGCAGTAGGAAACACATAGACTATTATGGAGATTGATTTTGAAATTTAGATTCACAAGTTGTGCTCTTAATGTGGCATGTCTCCAGCAGTTCAAATCCACCAGTGACTCCGTCAGGGAAAGATGCACAGTCTTCTCCCATACGCTGTATCGCCCCTGCGAACCTGCTGAGGGGCTCACCAGGAGTGGGTTCCCAGTCACAGCAAAGTCAGTACCTTCTGAGCAGTCACTGCCAGCTCCATCCAATGCCCTTCCTTCCCGCTGCACCAGCCAAGCTATGGGGCCCTGGTTATGCTTTGCCTGTGGCTGGTGCCTCTTGTGAAGTAGGCTCAGAGGATGCTGACAGTTCTGTAAGGGATTCTTAGTGGACCACCCTTTTACAGGCCCAGGACAGGCTGCTGTCCACTTCAAGGTCCATGGCAGGTGATCTGATGAGTTTCGATGTGTGAAGAATGTTTGTGTTCTAACGGGCATGGAGAGACAAGCGGCTTCTGAGGCTCTTTGCCTGCGTTTTATGACTCTCAGAAGTTGAATCTCATGCTTTGAGATGGTGTAGCTCATTTGTTTGGATTCTCCAGAGTTCACGGAGCCTGGAGGCCTCTCCCTGACTGGGCCAGCTGAGTGAGGAGGCTGGCAGACTCCCCCTCTAGGTTTCCCATGAGGCTGCTTTCGCCTTAGCGTTTTGTCTTGAATTATTGAGCCAGACCTCATCCTTGCTTGAGCTGTGGAAACAGCAAATCCCGAGCAAAGTGCCTTGACTTCCTGCTGTTTTCATTTCCCTCTCTGGAAAATGTGACGGCTGTCTGCTACTGGAGAGGGAGGCTCTCTTGAAAACGGGAAGAAAAAAAAGTGCAGCCTGTTTCCCTTGACAGAGATCTCTGGTGATGGGAACAAGCAGGTTTTTCCCGACAACCTAGAGGCCAGGCTGGTCTCTCCATTAGGAATATGGCCATAACTTTAGTTCAGTGTCTGGTAGCTTGCTGTTTGGAATCTTTGTAGGTCTTTGTAGTTTGGGGGATTTACTTTTGAATCTTCGTAAGTCTTTGTAGTTTGGGGGGTTTACTTTTAATTGAGTGCTGAGTGGGGAACCACCACAACCAACTGAAGTGGAGACTTAGCTGTCCCTGGGAGGGAGGGTGATGAGGGGCTGTGGCCCGTAGTCCAGGGAGGAGGTGTGTAGGAAAGGATTTGACCTGCTTGACTGTTAGAAACAAGGCCAGCATTCTTTTCTCTTCAGCTGGTGCAAAAGTGGGGATGTTTCCTCATTACTCCTCAACCCAGCAGGGCACACTTTGCTTCCTGGTGGTGGTTTTCAGTCACTGAGTGCCTTTAGCACCTGCCTGTGAAGTGAACGGCTCAGCAGGTCCGTGTAGATGCAGTTCTCCTGGACTGGGCTGCAGCAGCGGCTGCTGTGGAAGAGCCTTTGTTCGGACAGGTAGCGCTTTGCTGTGCCTCCTTCCAACAGCCGAGTTCCTGTAATCCAGCGGCTCAGGGATAAAGGTAGGGCAGGTGGTATGATCCTGTTTTACAAGTGAGGAAACTGACACACTGAGAGATTAAGTGATTTGCCCAAGGTCATTGAGGGGTTGATCAAAAGAGGGATTAGAAGGACGATGGGCAGAAGACCCATCGTTGAGGGTGGTCTGTTCCTCCCACATCCATCCTTCAGGCTGGCGTGCCAGAGATGTGTGTCCTTTCACTGTGTTCTAGTCTGTTTCAGTAATGCTTGTAGTGGCCAAAGGGGGAACCCAGTGACATGTGAGCGTGTGACAGGTCACCAGGTCAGGATGAATGCACACTTCCCCTAAGAGCAGAGCAGTGTGTATGTGGCCATGTGCAGACCGGGCTCCCGTGGTGGGCAGCTTGTGACAACAGAGGCCGAGCCACCTGGACAGTGCTCCCGGCGCTGGGGAGTCTCGGGGTCAATCTTTAAAAATTAACTTCCTTCAAAGAAACCCCATGGATGCAGACACTATGGGACTCTGGGTGTGTTTCTTGGCAAAGGCATGTGCCCTGTCCCTTCTTGCCCATGGGCACATGGGCGAAACAAGAGCTTGTCTGTAAATATCCCTATTCAGTGGCCTTGCCCTTGCCACTGCCCAGAATCTAGACACACCTGGAAGGAACAGAAAACGTCTCTAATGACTTAGCAGTTTTTCTAAAATCCATGCCCTTTACAGGTGGACACAGCGTCTCAGAACGCCACCTGGCGCTTCCTGCCATGAGTTTTAGTTTCTTTTTTCAGGAAGCTATTACAGGTCAGAAAAGCAAGCAAGCTGTGTTTTTGCTTTTTTAACTCAGAATGCCTTGACGAAGTGGTTTGTTTTCCCAACACACGATGGCTTAGAAACCACACAGTAGAGCTGGAGGTTGAGGTGAGGCAGGTGCTGTGCAGCAGGCTTTGGGGGACTGAGACTCAGTGTGTGGACAACACCTGGCAGGTGGGGCAAATGCAGACAGTACCCAGACAGTACCCTCGGCCCAGGGAAGGCCGAGGCCCCACTTGGATGTCCCAGGCCTTTCAGAACTATGACCCAGATGAGTTGTGACTTTTCACTCAAAATGGTTTCTGCTGCCAAAGAGTCAAATGCCACTTACCAGGAAACCAGTCCCTGTGACCTGTAGTCATGCTGGCCGGGGCGCGGCCATAAGGCAGCCTCGGTGTCTGTGTAAGTGATCGTGGGAACACCACATCAGAAGCAGTTAAATGTGTTACACGCCCCGGGCAGTACAAATGGCTAGTGTCCTCAACTGTTAACTGAAGTTGGGGTCCCCCCAAGAAGCGGCTCGTAAGAAAGGTTTGGCAATCTATTTCTGAAAATCCTACTCTAACCCAGTTCTCCAAACCATGGGGTTATCATGAAGCCAGACTTGACTTAACAGGAGCTGGCCGTCCCATGGTGTCTTGCTGTTGCTATACGTGGAGCAGTCCTGTAGAGTGATTGGATTGTTCCTGTTTACATGGGCTACTGTGGATGGCCCTCCTTCCTGAGCCTGCAATAAGTGCTGGTGAGTAGAAGATAGAAAGACCAGCTTTAGGAGCTAAAGACTTGGAGCTAGTAGTACTTTTAGGTGTTTTGAGAATTATGTGGAATCTACTCAAAAAGAACTGAACTCTCAGGAGTGATTATATTTTGAACTAATAGAATCACTGAGGGGAGCTTGGAAAACAGAAGTCAAATCTAAACACAGATCCTCCTGTTTTGGAAGAAATTTCCACCCACCATGCTGACATCCCACTTCGTTTTCCCTCACTGGCATGTTTATTGTCTCCAAAGTTGACCTCAGTTCTTTTCTTTTCTTTTTTTTTCTATAATTATATTTTATTAATTTTCATAAACATTTACAGAGATTTTGGGTTTCCATTCATTCACCGCTGCACCATTCTCTCTACCCTCCTCCCAGTTTGTTCTTGTCCAAATGCCACAGTGCTTGTCAAAGCCAGTTCTGATTAATCTTCTTTGTCAGTGTGTCCTTTGCCATTCCCTATCACTCCTCCCTGAGAGAGACTTCACCCTGAGTCATAAGGAAAAGGGGATGGCGTATTCTCTTAGCTACTTCCTGCTGAAAAGGGACGCTGTGGGTTTCAGGGTGAAGATCTTCTCTCACTACTCTAAAGGGCCCCTTTGGCAGTAGGAAGCACATAGACTATTATGGAGACTGATTTTGGAATTTAGATGTACTCTTATTGATTGTGCTTGGCCATACATGTTCATATCCTTGAAGATGTATCATGGGGGTGTTGCAACCTAGAAGACACAAATTTGACTAACAAGTTATAAGTACATGAGTCAAAAATTATGGAAAAGTAAAAGAAAAGATTCTTTCATTGTTCCACAAACCCCCCCCCAGGTCCCCTCCACCATGCAGCCCTCGCTCTAGACTCCTGTGATGACAGAAACACCCAGTTATAAATCTCTTTTAAACAGTTCCCTCCCTCCTCCGCCTCAGTGCAGCACACATCATTG